TTTTTTTTTTTTTTCACTCTTATTCATATACTTTCATGTAAATACAGATTTGCTTATATACGTTGATTTACAGAATTAATAAAAAAAAAAAACATTCGTTCATCCCAGCAATAGAGTTCAATGGTCTCACATTGGAGATCATTAACCTTAACCTTAACCTCAGATTCTTGTGTTGCTCATCATCAAAACAATTAATTTGGGCGTGGGAGAGCCAATGCCAATGCCAATGCTAGAGCCAATGTGAGCTTCCACTTAGGGATACATGGCTGATTGAAATTGAATACAAAACGAAAGCAATTCAAGGCATATTATCCTGCACAATAATACGACGGCACCTGATGCGCTAACTGCCAACATAATATAACAATTGATTCCACACTCGAGTAGCCCCCAAAAGGCAGAGAGCATAAAATAACAAACAAGGAACAAATGGGGGCGCTCGACAAGTGATTCAATCGATCGGAGCAATCATGCGGGAGATATTCTAGGATTTCTAACAAAAAGACGCACAGAATAGTTAGATAGTTGAATAAATAGCGAAAATATTCGAATTAACTTCCACGAAATGTTCTTTTCAGCATGCTTATACGGCGAAAGGATAGAGGCTTACAGGCTGGCCAAAAAAAGGGTTTTCGCTAGACATTTCAATTTCTATGGGCCTTTTCCTGAATCGAACAAGTGAATGGAGCTGCGATCAATCTGGCATGGATCTGAAATTGGAGAGTGCATGCGCAATATGTTTTTTGTTTCAATTATGAAATGAACCCTCATCAAGAGCGCTAACTGCCTGATGAATGGAACGGGTCTTGGGCATGTCTTATCTGCGATTTTCGATCATGCGTGGGTACAATTGACTACCAAAGAAGCGATGCTAAACTTGTCAACAGCATTATCTAGATTTCAGCTAAGATCTGTTTATCAATCCCAATATGGAACGCTCTATGAATTAATATTTTATTTGTTCGTTCATCTTCGTTTTTTTTTTTTTTTTTTAGAACGATTTTAATTAATGCATTGTCATGACTTTCGCCGCGCAACTGACTGACGGCATTTTGATTTCGAATTCAGTTTTCGGCTCGTATCGAATGTCAGCGACGTGGGAAGCACGCACGACCCAGCTTCATCTACCGTCAAGATGAAAGATATGCGAGATCAACATGTAATCTTTGGCATTAGTACGAAAAAAACGCTTAACAAAATGACAACAACAACCTACAACCAACAACCAACAGCCAACAGCGTAGACAATGAGCGCATGTTGCATGCCCGATCGAATGTCCTTTGATATCAAACGTCTTATGGCAGTACTTATATTTCATTATGCGAAAAGGTAGCGCACAAAGGCATTGCTCAAGGAGTACACATTGTTGAGCCAATGCCCGTGGAAAGACCAAGAAAGACCTGTTGTCATCGCACCGACCAGCAACCGGCAACCGGCAGCCAGGTCCCTGCTTCTTGCTCCTGTCTCCTGTCTCCTTGCCCCTATCCCCTGTCTGAGTCAACCCCTTGCAGTTCGAGCGAATTCTGATTCCAGCCGTATGCTCTATGCTGGTGCTGCGTCTTTTTACTCGGAACGCACACTTCAACCCTGACATTCAGGCCAGCCAGTCAGCCAACCAGTCAGACAGTCTGACGATCTGCCTACGTCAACTCCCTTGCCATCATCATTATGATTGTGTGGTGCGGTTGCTCGTTGTCCTGGCGGCAGGCTTCCACCGCTTGACACTTGCAGATTAGTAAAGTGTTGAGTCTTAAATAAATTTCCTGCTAATTGCTGTGCGCACAATTAGTTATGCTCCATATACATGAACTCACACGGCATCGCCTGCAGTTGCACTCTCCAGCTCTGAGGACCTGCAATGATTTGCATTCYTTTTGTTTGTTTGTTTGCTTGCACATGTGGCCCGTGTTATAGCTTGAGGTATTTATAATTTCTTCTTTTTTTCTTCTTGAATTAACTTTTTGCCTGATTCATGACTTTTGGTAATTTTAGTTCGTATTTCCGGTACGAATTGTGGCCTCTGCGAATGCAGTTTTCTCTGAAATGTGAAGAGGTGTTTCGGAGCACCTAATGCGATTCCAAATTTTACCGGGACTATGCGGTGCCATCTAGTCTGACAGGAGCTAAAAAGTCTTCCTTATTATTAATATTTAAAGAGCTAGGTTGTCTTGAATGCTATAAAATATGTAAATCATAATATATATT